CTGCCCAGACTTGAAACTATATTAATTACAGAAACTATATTAATTACAACAGTGCTTGACCAATGACTCTAGCATATTCTAGCTAGTTTTTACATCTTGGATTAACCCCTTTCTAACAATCTGTGTATTGCCACAAGACTGTGGCCTATAGTAAGTTTCCTAAGGTTCCAGCACGCCCTTCTCCTTTGGCAGCTACATGGCGTCTCCCTGACTCTGCCTATTCTCTTTCTTTATCTCTGATTGGATTTCCTGCCTGGCTTCACTCTGCTAAGCCATTGGCTAAAATAGCTTTATTCATCAACCAATAAAAACAACACATATACAGAAGGACATCCCATATCAGAGTCTCCTCAAGATAATAAACAGAGTGTACCAGAGAAAGACAACTGATGCCTTCTGCCCCCCACAATATGCATCATGTGTCCCCACATATACAGATACACTCTCACTGACACAAACACAAATAAATAAATCTTTAAAAAAAATTTTTTTACCATGAATTGATTCTTTGTGGATTTTATATCATGCTTTCCTATCCAACTCATTTCCCCATCCCCTTGCAACCTCCCTTCATCCTTGTGACTTCCCCCTAAACAAAACCAAACTGAAAAGAAAAACCAAAGACCAAACATAGCAAGAAAACAAAACAAAACAAACAAAAAAAGGGGGGGAAGACTCTTGTCATGGAAGCTGTAGTGTGGCCCGTTGAGTTGCACAGTTTACCCTTTAGTCAATTCGTCTTTACTTGTAAGTGTTCATTGCCAGAGCCATTGGTCTGACTTGAGGTCTCTGGTTTCTGCTACCCCACCAATAACAGGTCCATCCCCTTCATGTGCTCCAACAGTTCATAGACAAGGATGGGCCAACTCACAGCCCTGGTTCTAGACGTGGGTGCTAACTGGCTTGGTCAGCCCACCAGGTTTCCCCCATGGTCACTCCCTGGTGAGCTCTCCAGCACTGCATCAGCCAGCTCACCCGGTACAGCCTGCAGCAAGGAGCCGGGGCCAGTGCTCCTGTTCTCGGGTTTTCAGATCCAGCTCACTCACATTTAAACCCCCAGGGCCAGCTCTACTGTTTGTCCAGCATAGGGCCCTCTTTCCTGCTTGCTGTAGGGGACATACAAGGGAGGGGTGAGGTCGGCTCTCCTGCTCTCATGCCCTCAGGGCTGACTCATCTGTGCCTCCCAACAACAGGCTCAGCTCTAGTGTGCTGACCAGACAGGGTACACACCTGAGGTAAGGGGTGGAATCATCTTTCCCAGGTGTGTATGGGGGGGGGAGCTCTTCCCCAAGAGGTAGGTCCAGCCCTCCAGCTGCAGTATCCAGTGGGGAGCAAAGCCAACTGTCCCAGGGCCAGTGAAGGGTGGGGCCGGCTCAGCATGGCTCCGGTGATCCCCTGTGCTAACATGGGCTTTGGACATCATTACAGACCCAGGTCCAGCAGGGTCACAGACCCAGACATGACCCTGGGCAGCAGCTCAGACCCAAATTTCACCATGGCCTATAAGTAAATCTTTTATAAAAGAGATATGGATTATATATATATATATATATATATATATATATATATATGGGAATCTGTGTATATATTTACCTAAGAGGCAAATACAGGACACATATTTCCTTCCTCTGTCAGCCAAGAGGGCCTAGAAACAATGAGACTCAACTAGCATACAGTGCCAAGACATCAGCTTCTAATTCCAGTCTTAAATAAAGGTACCATGTCCTAGGGAGACAGTTGTCTGTAGAACTAGGATTATACATAATAGACAAGAGGGGCCTGGAGTGGTTTACACTTCAGGACATACTAAAGTCAACCAAAATGAGCAATAAAGGCCCAAACAAAACCAAAATTTGCACAGTGATGAAGGGTCCTGAATGGCACAGGACCCATGTGAAAGTGCTCTCGATGGTAAAAGCTGGCAAAATCACGGGGCAATATATGGTAGCTCCAGGTTACAAGTCAAAATACATGGCAAATATTCACAATTCTAAACCGATGAAAAATAAAACAAAAACAAACGGGAGACACAGTTTCCATGCAAAGAGAATTTCAAATAACCTAGAGAGAAGTTGTCGTGGATCAGATGGAGCATGATTCTGTACACCTCAAGTCTGGGTCTCGTGTGACTGTCTATCCAACAGTGGTGTAGAAAAGGGGAGGGTAGCATTACGTGGGGAGACAGTGCCTCAACCAGACAGCTGGGTCATAGAGACATGGGCCTGTGCACAATGTGATTAACAAGGCAGATAACTTCCATGACCTTCTCCCAGCAGAATCAGAAAAACAAACTCAAAAAGGGGGGATTTTACAAGAACCACAGCATGCTTTGAAATTGCCAAGATGGTCATCGAAAGCAAAAAATCTGGAAACTGACAGGTACAAATGAAAAAAATATGAGTAAAGAATAGAATTTAATTAGTTTTTAAAAATCAGTTTGGGTTTGTTAATTAGAACAAATAGATTTTGCCAATGTAAGGTGTTAACACTTGGGGTTACTGGAGGTGAGAACATGGTAACTCTCTGTTCACAGATTTTTCTTTTGTAAGTGCAAAACTACTCTGAGAAAGTTAATTTCTTTAAGACAGCAGTGTTGTAGAATATTAGTTAATGATATGTTACATTCTTTTATGCTGTGGAACATTTGTTTAATGATGCAAAGATGTGCTGCATTCTTTTATGTTGCATTTGTTTAACTCTGAGAAGCTGTGTTGCCTTGCCTGCCTAAAACACCTGATGGTCTAATCCGGAGCTGAATGGCCAATAACTAAGCAAGATAAAGATAGGCTGGGCTGCCACGCAGAGAGAATAAAATAGGATGAGAGGGAGAATGAAAGAGAGAGGAGGAGGGAGGAGGGAGAAAAGGGAAGGAGAAGAGGACACCAGTGGCCAGCCACCTCTCAGCAGCTCCGGCTGGAACCACATGCCCCCAATCTACTCTCCTTTGAACTTGGAGCCTTCCTAACAGCACATCTTTCAAAAACATCCCCCTAGAAGATGCAGTGATCAGTACATTTTAAGGCAAACTTAAGCCTTTGCAGGTGTTTCTTTTTGACGAGGGGAGCTAAGTCTTCACTTCAGTTGGGTCTTAAGAACTACTATGAAAACAGAGTCTTTATTCCTATTGTTGAATTAAATGCAGGAAGAGCAGGGCTAGTCTACATATATACAACTTCCTAAAGTCTATTACAGCATAAGTCCAGTCAGGCTTTGAAAGCCCTTCCCATGTCCATTCTTCCAAAAATAGGAAATCAGCCATCGCCTCTACAAGACCTAGACTCCTATATATACGGCCTGCTGGGTATTCGAAACCCTAATTTCTGGGACGATTTTGAAGAGCACTGAATCTGACGTCAAGATGGCCTCAGTTCACATCTCCCTTTCTCTTTAACCAATGTGGCCTCCAATGATGCCTTTATTCCAAGCCTGGGTTTGCTCGTGTGCATACAAACTTTGAACATTGCTTGTTGCATGTGTCTCACTGCACCCCGAGACTTGGCCAGTAGTGAAGAGCTGTAAGTGGGTACAGTCTCGGGCACCTCAAACTTTCAATACATTTCCTTTCTGCCCTTCCTGCTCACTTTCACCCGGTGGCTCAGCTGGCAAAGGCACCTGCTCCCAAACCTGAGGATCTGAATTTCATCCCCAGGAACCAAAAGGTGGAAGTAAAGAATGAGTCCCACACGTTGTGCTCTGACATAGCTATCCATGTGTCACCACCCATCCACACACCAACAATAAAAATAAATAGCAGAGGATGGTGGCCCACGTCTTTAAACTCAGCACTCAGGAGGCAGAAGCAGGCAGATCTCTGTGTTCAAGGCCAGCCTGGTCCACAGAGACTGGTTCCAGGACAGCCAGGGCTACACAGAGAAACCCTGTCTCAAAACAGTAAACTTAAATCAATAATGCAATAATGACTGCATTTCTTGTCGGGAAAAAAATTAACAAAGGCAAGGATGAAGGATGTGACGAGCATCTCAGAACAGCGAAGTTTCCAGGGAAAGATGAAATAACCACACTTCACTGGGTCCCTGTCACAGCCGTGCAACACTAATCAGAACTAGCATCCTGAATTACTCCACACGGCTCGTCTGAGAACCACACAGACCTGGACGGAGGACTGTGGGTTGGATTAAAATTGACAGCCATGTTAAATAGCAAAGTGGCATGGAATGACGAAAGGAGAATGCAAATGAGAGATTTTAAGAACCAGCGATCAATCTACTGGACGTGTTGAGAAACAATTATGTTTCTGAAATAAGTCCAGCAACATTCCCCAGTCAAGTGCTCAGAAAGTTTACTTGCTCTCACACCTGTGTGTGTAGGCGTGTGTTTTGTATAACAGTAAGTGTATCAGTGCATGTGTGTGTGTGTGTGTTGTGTGCTTGTGTGTGTGTGTACACGTGCGCGCACGTGTGCGTGTGCGTATTCTATGCCATATATATACCCGGTACGTACAGCCATTTCCTCGATGAAATCAACAAGGTCAGACTGAGATTCTGTCATCAATTATTGTTGGAATGTGGCTGAAAAGGGAAAGAATTTGGAATCAGTTGCCGTTGGCCGGGGATGGTTCCTCTCGTTAGAAGCTACTCCCTTGTCCCCAATACATTCTGATCCACCTAACTGGCAGTTTTCCAAGGACGCCTGGCACTGTGAAGAGAGAGGTTCAAAATGGTGCCAATACGGTGACGGTGGAGAGAGCCTCACAGATTCCCAGTTGGAAGTCACTTCGGTGAATTGAAAGCGTCTTTGCCTGGAGTTCTTTCTTTCCAGCGCCTGGTTTAGCCTGGGAGGGAGTCAAGGCCCCGGGTTAGGAACCCCAGTCCGCTGTGGTCCTGGCGGCCCAAGGACTCTCTGGTTGGGCAGCGTCCTCCCGCGCTTCTCCCGCGCCTCCGGGGACCCGGGGCGAGCCGGGATGGGCGTCAGACCGGGACCTACGCGCTAGTGCTGGGGAGTTCCCGCTGTAGAGAAACCGATGGGTGAGAGTCGGGTCGCGTCTCCATGGCAACCCAGTGGGGCCTAGCAGCGCAGGGAGACCGCAGGGAGGGCGCAGCGGGCTGGACCTGCGGCCCAGGACTGCTCAGACCTTTCCAGAGAGCAGCGCAGGTAACCGACTGGCTCCGTGGACCGGGCCCGGACCCTCCCCTCCATCCAGCTGGCGCGGGACGGCAGGGTCCACGTGCTGGGCAAACTAGGAGACAAGCTTCCAGCAGAACCATGGCCTTTGCCTCGGTTTCCCTCTTTTATTTGTCTGTACTTCCTGATCTAGTTTTGCCTCCTACCACCTCGCATTTCTGCCTCACTGGGGCAGTTCCTGCGGTGTGAATGGAGATTCTTTCTCCCTCCTTCCATCCCTCCCTTCCTTCCTCTTCTTCCTCTTCCAATTCCTTTTTCCCTCCCCCTTTGTTTCTTCCTTTTCCCTTTTTCTCTTCCCTCCTCTCCTACTTCTCTTTTCCCTCTTTCCCCCTCCCTCATCCCTTCTCAGGTGTTTAATTGGTTCATACGATTTTTAGGAGGGTCTAAATTGATTTTAACACTTTATTAATTTACATTATGTTAGTCCACAGCTCGAGCAAGCACACATGTGTGTTTTTATGTGCATGTGTGAATGTGTGTGTGTCTGTATGTCTATGTGTGTCTGTCTGTGTGTACATGTGTGTGTGTCTCTGTGTGTCTCTGTGTCTGTGTCTGTGTGACGGGGGGGAGTCTGTGTGTGTCTGTGTGTGTGTGTGTCTCTGTGCGTTGTGTATGTGTGTGTGTGTGTGTAGGCATATAGCTGCAGGTGCTCTCACAGGGCAGAAGAGGCATCAGAGTGCCCTGGGACTGGAGTTAGAGGTGCTTTTGAGCCACCTGACCAGTGCTGGGGCCCTCTATGCACTCTAAACACTCTGCATCCCGACTGCTGGACCACTTCTCTAGCCCCGTTCCTAGATGTTCTGTCCTAAATTTCCTGCTGTATTCACGCTTCTTAAAGGTCGAGAAAAGCCAATGAAAGAATACATCCTCTAAAGGCAAGGCATAGGAGCTCCATTAAGATGGACATTGGGGCTCCAGACAGCATTCCTCTTAGCAGGAATTATGAACTGAACACTCCACAAGGCAACTGACACAGAGCTGCCACTGTGCTAATGATGAATGCATGCTGCTTCCAGCCAGTACCACGTATCTCAGCCAAGGGCTGAGCCGGTATTCCTATCTGTGTGGGGCCTTCAAGCCAATGAAAGCCCACCCCCTTCTGTGCTGGTAGACGCAAGTCTCCATACTCATAAAACCCTATACTAAATAATGACTTACCAACAGCAAGAACTTCATCTTATATTAATATATGTAAACACTTTATAAATATAAATAATTTCCCCTCACAGATTAAAACTCAAGACGAACAAGCCAGATGTAGACAGTTTTTGGCATGGAGAACCAAGCCCATACCACAGCGGGGTAAGTGTGCAGAAACTTCTTTTTACTGAGTTCATCTTTGTGCCCAAAACTCCTTGGTGGAGCACAAGTTATGAAATGAATTGTTCCAAGAAGGATGTGCTGATTGCCTTTGGTAAGTAGGCTGAGGGGAATTTCAAATAGCTTATGGGGAATCTATTTACATGAGTCTTCCTGATGCTGAAAGGCTGGCTCTTCCCGGGAAGAGAGCATCCTCAGTAACGCTGTTGGATCACAAGTGCAGACCCCGGCGGGCCTCCTCAGCACTCACAGGTCCCCAGCACAGCACTTCCTGTTCACAGGTACAGACCCAGGTGGGCCTCCCCAGCTCTCACAGGTCCCCAGCACAGCACTTCCTGGCCACCTTGCTTCTTTCCTGCTGTAGTGAGTGTCTCTCTGCTCCTGTTTGAAGACTTATCATAGCCGGGCGGTGGTTGAGCATGCCTTTAATCAGAGCACTCGGGAGGCAGAGGCAGGCAGATCTCTGTGAGTTCGAGGCCAGCCTGGTCTACAAGAGCTAGTTCCAGGACAGGAACCAAAAACTACGGAGAAACCCTGTCTCAAAGATCCAAAAAAAACAAAAAAAACCAAACAAAAAAAAAAAAAAAAAAAAAAAAAAAAAAAAAAAAAAAAAAAGAAACCGACAGTAAAGACTTATCCTGTTTTCTCAACATGTAAACACAGCCCACAATACACGCATTTCCACAGAGTAGCGAGAATGAGATATTTTAGTTAAGGAACAGAGATTGGAAAACATTCAGTGTGGTAGAAAGGGAACCAAATTCCTTTTCCCAACTCTCTGTCCTAAATCTTCTCGGGGAATGAGCGCCATGAAGATTTCTCTATCCATCTGGCCACTGGTGGGGCTCAAGTTGGGGGAGCAGCAGATACTTCAGAGCCCAGTCTTGACTGCTGTTGAATCAAAAGCTCCAGGTGTCTCACTTGCAGTGACCTGCTCAGGCTGTGGCTCTGACACGGGGAAAGAAGAGCGAAGAAGAGTAAACAATGATGACTATCTGGAGTCCTGCTTCCTCTGACAGCCCTTATTCTCAATGAGAAAATGGAACATATTGCAGTATAACTGGAGTTCCTGAAACACACACACCACACACAAAATGCGAAACCTTAAATAACAAGAAAGCTCATCTCTGTGTCAGACTGAGAGGGTCATCTCTAGCCCCAAAGTGATTGCTTCTGCTCCAGTCATTGTGACTATTGCCTTCCATCATGGCAGTGTTCTTAATAAAGGGGAAGGAAGGGCAGGAAGACTTTCCTTCTAGGAGTCTGGACTTAGGATAGCTCGGCTTATAACCGCTTGCATGCCTGAGTGAAGCTATAAACATTTGGTAGGAACCATCCTCAGATTTCAACTCTGGATCTTTTGTGCAGACTAGAGATCTGTAGATTCATTCTGGCAATTCCAGTGAGCTCACTCTCAGTTAGCCACGCAATGGTGAGGGCAGACCAGCACCCCACCCCAGAACACTGAGTGGCTGAGCGGGTCGGCATATTTTCAGTGCTTTCTCAGCCTGCGGTATTTTCAGTATATGATGGCCCTGTCCCGCCATAGCCAACTCCACTGTAAGTTGGAGGCATCTGAAAGGGTGAAGAATGACCATTGCTGCATTCCCAGCAGACTCTGCCCAACTGAACCACAGAGAGATGGACAGAACACTGATCAATGAAGGATGTGGGGTCTGAATGGAAATACATCTGGCTCCAAAACCTGAATTCTTTCTCCACTGGAAGTGGATTGCATTGAGGTGTGAGAGGCAGCCTGCCTAGAGTCCACATCACAGTTGGGTCAGAAGGAGCATGCGTTGGGTCCCTGGTGTGACTGTATGTAACAGTAGAATACAGTAAGACAGACTGGGGGCCTCAAGCCTGGGGCTAGCAGATAGCCTCAGCCCTGCAGATCTGAAGGCGTGGCTGGTTCTCTGCATTCATTCTTTGGAAACAAAGTAGGCTGTACTGAGTTTTAAGCCCTGAAGTGCAAAGGTTATTTAAAAACAGACTTGGTCTTTAGAGAACTTAGGCGTTATTGGAGAGAGTTGGACTTGTTTGGGTACAGGATAGTTACAGAGCAGAAGTTAACGAGCACCCCACAGTTGCCCTGAAAGACTGTTACTTGTAACGGCGTAAGCGAATGCAGACAGATTGTCAAAATATAGACAGCTTTAATGGAGGAATAGACTTACAGAACCACTGTTCCCGCGGAGACCAGGAAAGCAGAAGAGAGCGCTGGGAGCACGCTCACCAATTTTATAGGAGAACTTTAGCCTGAGGCGAACACGCCCCCTAAGGGGTGGGACTTATCCCTACAGTTACTCATCTTGGTAGGCGTGTGGCCAGACACTGTATACTGTGGTCTCCAGAGCACAGAGACCACAGACTCTAATGGTGTTAAGGAACCGGTAAATGTGGCTCATTCTCCAGGGATTTGTTAGTGAATTCATAAACATGTTCCTCTGGTGTTACTTGAAGCAGCCTGTTTTCAACAAATTCTTAGCACCTACTGTGAGCTTACATAGCTCTAAAACCAGATACACATGCAAATATATATATCAAACACTGATAGGAAAAGGAAAGTGTGTGTGCAGTACAAAAATTCACTTGGTTCTGTACGTTACCAAAACCAAAATCTAGTTGTGTTGGTGCCCACCCAGTCTTCTACTCCAAAAGGCAGCTGCTTTCAATGATTTTGGCAGGGTTCCCTCCCAAGCCTTTGGTGTCTAACCCAGCATCTTCAAATAACACGCTTAGTCCTTTGGTGTCTAACCCAGCATCTTCAAATAACACGCTTGGTTGAGTTTTCCATTTTAAGCATTGCCTATTGGCTTTTACAATGGATGTTTTTTCTCTCCTGTCCCCCAATTAGCCATGATTTTGGTAGCATCCATAATCACTATATGTCTTCATAATAGTCTTCTTACGACTTTATAAGCCGCATCCATCTTGAAGGCTGACTGAGATCATTTTCCCTTCCTGTTCAAATTTTTTTCCTTCCTGGAGTTAGTGATCCTGACATCATAAACTTTTGGAGTCTTCTTTCTCCACAGTTCCCTTCTTTAAAGGGGGTGAGGGTGGGATTTCATCTGTAAATAAAGATGTAAACTTTATTTTAAAATAAATTTCTTTTAAGCGATCTTTAAAAAGATGCCTCGATCTTTGGACCTGCCCACCTTCTCCATCCTGTGAATTGCTTTCCTTGGCCCCTGAACTCACTTCTTCCTCAATCTAGGACCACCCATGGTATGGAGCTGTCCCTACTTGGGGTGCTTCTTCCCTCTAGAAAGTCCCTCACAGGCATGCCCAGAGGCCTGTCTCCCAGGTGAGTCTAGATCGTCAAGTTCACAGTCACTATTAACTGTTAAAACTTGCTACTTGACTCCCACAATTTTCACCTTTGTAGACTTTGTAGACTAAAGTGTGCATTTGCTTCGTTTTATTTTATTTATTTATTTATTTATTTATTTATTTATTTTGGTTTTTCGAGACAGGGTCTCTGTAGCTTTGGAGCCTGTCCTAGAACTAGCTCTTGTAGACCAGGCTGGTCTCAAACTCACAGAGATCCGCCTGCCTCTGCCTCCCAAGTGCTAGGATTAAAGGCATGCATCACCACCGCCCGGCCATTTGCTTCATTTTAGTAGGACTTGAGAAAGAAGCAAGCTCTGTGGATTCATCCACCTTGACCCAAAGCCTGCTTTTCCTCTGCTGAGCCTCTCATAGTCTCTGCATTCTTTGACTCCTCCTCCACTCGTCTCTTTCACAGTCTTATAAAGGGATCTAAAAATCAGAATGCTACTGCGCACACCAGTAAACTCTTCTCATCTTCCAGAGAACCGAGAAAGATTGAGTCTTTAAGAGCAGCTTCCTACCTGAATCCCCAAAGCCCTTCCTGACCCCGCTTCCCCTGTGTGTCTTCTTAACACTCAAGGGCCCTTCTCTGGGAGACACAGAATCACAGCTATGCTTGCTCGTTTCGTGGTGGGTTAAGTACAGTTTTATCATTGGTAAAAAGAAATTCCGATTGTTTTGATCTAAGCCCCTAGAGCAGGACCATAATGAGCTGCAACAGTACATTCTTCCTGCACACTGAGAATTCTTTCTGACTGACTTCAGTGACTCTTTGGGACTTCTGGCTGACCCAGACCTTCCTGTTCACCCCACATGGCTCTTCCCTTGTCTGATCCTCACCAGAACAGGCACACTTAATGGGTTCCTCTAATTTCTTGTGTCTTCGGATGAAGAAATGAGAAAGAGATGGGGATGGGGCATCTGGTGTGCGGTGTGAGGTGGATGCTGAAGTGTTAGCTGGGGGCCAGTTATGCACAGGATCAGTGACTGTGAACGAAAGAAAACTCGGGAGGAGGAAGGAGAGAAGGGGAGGAGATTCCCTTGGAAGACAGATTGGGTTACTAACAATGTTAGAGAAAGATTAGCAGTGTCACCACACAAAACACACTTGCCTGCACTTTTTATAGGATGCCATTGGGCATATTAGCCACCGGTTACATTAAAGGGGAAAGGGACCTGAGTGTGTAGACCTAACTGTGTACACTGGCACCAGGCACACCTAATATGATCTGGTGTTCTTCGGTGCATAACTTTTTGACATGTTGGAACCATCTAGAACAGCTGAGAGTCTCTAGTTGGTGTGGTTGGCACAGGAGGGTGAGCGCTGTATAACACTACCAGTGTTCTGCCTCTGAAGAGAGGAATGACCTCTTTGGATAGCAGCTAAGACAAAGTCGGGCCCTCTCTCCACCAAAGCCAAGAAGCACAAAGAAAAAAGAAAGCTATAAACAGAGCCAGGAAAGAATTCAGGCAGTGGTGACCAAGGCCCCACAGGGACTGGACCTAAACCAGCGACAGCGACATCTTCTCTCATCCCATCTCACTGACTGGAAGAGCATGGGGAGTCGGGAGCGATGTCAAAGACACAAAGAGTCACAGCACACCATATGCAGAGGGCCGAAAGAGGAGGAGCTAAGAGTTCAGAG